ATCTGGTCTTCCATCATTTACCTCTAAGAAACATTTTTTAGTACTTAGCTGTAATCTAGCAGTACTAATTTCATCTCTATCACTTCAGTTAAAAATTTTGAGTTTTGTAGCACTGATGTCTAGTCTAAATCACAGCAGAGATCCGATGCAGTATGTGCATTACAATGGTGATTGTATCTGGTGACACCACAATGGTAGTTCTGTTCCGTTTTGTTCTAGGCCTGGGACTTTTATTTCAAATAACAATGAAATATTTATTTTATTGATAGTTTAGGGATTTTAAATTTTGTTCAGCTAACATAAGTAGTGTTGTTGAACAATGTGTTTACATATAGACATTGGTCTACATTTTACACTTTTCTGGTATAAGGGCGTAAAAAATTGGAGGTAAAATGTCAGAAGTAAACAATATAAATGAGTGGTATTACATAATCCACACCTGAGCATCCAGATTTAGTTTTGCTTTTTTTCATTGGACCTCGAAGCTAAAACTGCTACAAAACCAGAGTAATATTTCTTTGTTTTATTTTCGCTTATTTAATATTTTCTTTAGTAAAACTTTAGATTATAATTGTATAGCAAATAAAAGGGGCGAAGAAAAGAAAGTGAGCACAACAGTTGTAGTAATGAGTAAATAATTCATTATTAATAATGTATTCAATGAATAAGGCAAGAGGAATGCATAAGAGGAAGTTGATTCAGGAAGGAACTTTAGCTGAGCCACTGGGTAATTGCAATTGTAAGAAATTCAACTTCTTAACAGAGAAGATCACATCAAAATCAGTTTGTTGGTAGAATGATTTTTTTAAAGAAGTGATTAAAACGTATGAAACAGAACCCTCATATTCTGCAAAAATGTATATAATATATGTATAAAAAGTTGCAGCATGTAGGAAAATGGCCATATGAAAAAACAGTAGCAAAGAAGAAAAAGTATATTGCAGAATGCAAGAACTATTTGAACTAAAAAGGTCTCTTAAAAAAAGAGAGATTCTTAAGCAAAATGGTAAGAAAAGAGCATAAGTTCTAGCAGGTAAACTTTAGGAGTGGAGATCAGAGGGACTTCTTAGAGCACATAGCCAAAGGCATGCAAATAAATATGGACAATTTTTAAGATGTCAAGCGTAGTAAGCTAGGAGAGAATTGGTGGGTCTCTTGAGCTCCAGTTTGTGAGGACAAGGACGTTGCAGAGATTCTAAACTGTTTCTTTGCATTTGTATTTACCAGAGGAGGGACGGAGAAAGACAGACGGGCATATTTAGGAAGCCACCCATCCCAGGTAATCGTTTCAAATAAACGTGCAAGACTGAGTGATGGAAGAGGATGTTGTTGAAAAATTGACTAAAACAAATAGGAATAAGTCAGTGGATTACGTGTTTCTTTAATTTTCAGTTTCTAACAAAAGCTAGTAAGCAAAGAATGTCAGAAGTTGTGTTTATCATTAAAGAAGGTACTAGAAAATCTTGTAAATTAGAGACCAGTGAGAAACCTTAGCATAGGACATAAAATGGTAACTCGGGGGTTTTAGGAACAAGGTAGCTGGCATCTGCCGAGGAAAATTGCACAGAAAGATTGTCAATCTATTAGAATTTTGATAGAGCGGGTGAGAATTAATCAATATAGTGTATCTGAACTGTCAAAAAAACCCTTTAGCATAGCTTCTGTGTAGTAGAAGAAGCTGCTAAAGTAAGCAAGTGTTGTCACAGGGCAAAGCGCTACCAGACTTTCAGTGCCTAAGAGAAAAAATCCATAAGGATAAATGGAACATTTTAGCAGAGCTCTCCAATTGCCTATGCGGAGATCCATGGAGTTTAAAAAATTAATTATCTAGAAATGGAAACAAGAAAAAGTGGGCTGTATTTGCAGATGACATAAAATGGTTTAGGTCAATCAAGTCTCTAATAGCCTACATATGCCCACATCGTGCACCGAAGCATGATCCAGCAAACCCAGCCTGCTTCTGACCTAGCTCGCTCTGGAATTGAAAGCTGCAGAGCAGTGTCAGCACAGTGGAATAGCTGAGCAAACTTACTCGCTTAAGCTGTGCCACTTGTGCAACAGCTACAAATGTGTAAACTGGTAGCTCTACGTGGAGCCTTCACTGTGCCATATGAGTGTACCTGCTCCAGTTTGTGTCTGCTTGGTGATGCCTGCACTGCGTTCCAATGGGTACGTTCAGTGCAGAACCTTAGAAAAGATAAATGAGGAAGGCGATGTATATTATCATGAGAAATTTGAACTCTTCTTGAGAAAAAAGACCATGGAATAATTCCCTGAAAAGTGTCCCCCAATGTACAAAGCCAGCAAGAAGGAAATAAAATGCTAGGTTGTAAAAAGGAATTGAATTGAAAAGACGCTAAAAAAGTATTACAAAACATGTCACTATGTTGCTCTAGCCAGTCTATTAGTTCCATCGAAATACATAGCATAATGGCAAAAATACTGAAAATATTTCTAGGCAAAGTCATACCAAAAGCTTAGTACTAATTAATTTATATGAGCTGTGGTAGGGACATGAAGTAAACAGGAGACTGCATGAAAACAGAGCTGGGTGCTTTCGTTTTGCCATTCTCAGTAACAAGAGAGCAGCAAGGCAGCAAAACAACTGAAGGACAACCAGGTCGTGAACTGATAAGATCATACACATTTGACAAAATGATACACATTTGACACAAATAATACAGCAATCTGTTGAACTTATGATTATGGGGTGTGATTGAAACCAAAGGCTTAATAGTGGGGATTTGGGTGGTTGCTTCTTTGTTCTTTGAAGTTTAGGTCATTGCATGGATAAATGAAAAGAGCAGCAGGTATATTACAAATTATAATGTAGAAAAAGATATAAATCCTCATACCTGAACGGGTTTCTTTATGTCCCATTATCAAATTTTCACCTTACTGGTCTAAGCCATTGGACTTATTCGTCCACTAATTTCCACATAAACATACATATTCTGTATATTATTCAGAGCAGAATACACCAAAAGTAGATTTCTTTGTACTCAAATAATATCTTTTGAAGAATATATTTTTTACATATGGTTTTTTATTATGAATACAAGTTATAAAATTGTGATGGGATCTATAAATTGTAGGGGTTTTGAAAAAGTTTTCTCATAGACTGACTCCAGGATTCTTCTAACTTGCATATTCTTACTGCGTAACTTACACTTATTTCTTCTTATTCATCTGTGTGATTTGAATGCTGCCTTTCTGCAAACAGTTAAGAAATTTTCATAATGACTTGAATGTTCATAGAACATGAAAGACATTCTGAATTTGACTGGAGAAAATAAAACAAGTGAAATAACGTTGGTGAGGAAAATAAAATGTAGCTTTTGAACAACTCCTATATTTAAAAAAAATATTCTAACCATTTCTATCTAATTTTTCATTCAATGGTGGTTATATTAGCCATTATTTTTATAAGTATTTTTACTGTAGTGACCAAAACCCCTAATCCAAGATTCAAACTCTGTTGTACCAGATTCTGTAGGATATCTAACAGAGACTATCTTCACAGTGAATACCTGATGAGTCTGATTCTGATCTATTTCTAATACTTTGGGCTAGGTCCTGAGATGGTAACAGT